GTGGCCTAGAGGCCAAAGGTTTCCCACTTCTGAATAAACAAATATGTGTATATACATATGGATACACACACCCACACCCACACACTCTCTCTCACACACACACACACACACACACACACACACACACACACACACACACGAGTTCACAGATCCCAGGTTAAGAACCTTTGCTCTAGGGGCTGCGAAAAGATGGAAGAGAGGGTGGATGACAAAAAGAAAGTCAGAAAATCCTTCACCATTCTCATAACACAATGCAGAGCCCTTGAAATGATAAACCCTAACTCAACACTGACTTTTAGTTAAGCTTTTATCAGACTTACTTTTAAAGCTAGAAGGGACCCTAGAAATCAAGTGTTACTCTATCATTTTACAGAGGAGAAAACTGGGGCCCTGAGAGGTAAAGTCATTTGCAGGTCACGTAGGTTATAAGTACCAGAGCTGCAGATTTGAACAGATATTCTCTCACTCCAAATCCTTATTTCTTTCTACTCTGCTGATGAGGTATGGGGATGCTGGGACCCTGAGAATGCCAACACAAAATTGGCTGGGGCCCAAGTACCCCATCACTACCATCTTACCTATTGTTTTCAGGAATCCAGGGTCAAATAGGCATCACTTACAACACCAACAGTCTCCTGGGCTCCATCTAAACCAAAGTGGCTCCAGGACACAGGAACTGAAGAACAGTTCTAAACTGGGGGAAGGGTGACAGATACAGAGGGCATAAGATTCAGAAAGCCACAGATACTACTAGAGTGGTGAGGGAGAATTTAATAGCCCATCTATGGAAGCTGGATTTGAGTTACAAATTAATTTGCCCAACTAATCATACAACAGACAGATAAGATGCAGAAAAGCAAAGTCAGAGTACCCAAAGATCAGGAACATCTGTTAACAAGTGAGTTATATAATTACAAGCTATGTAATAGTGGCATAAAGAGCACAGCTGAGAGTGCTGCCAGGATACCAGGTTAAAAAGAATAAAAATGGATTAACAGGTAGAATTGTGTCACCATATATAAGGAATGATGGATGGTACAATGTTGTAAAAGGCTTACTCTTAAGTGAGGTGTCAAAGAATCTTAACATGTGAAAAGGTCATACTAATACTATAAAATTGTGATGGCAGGTTTGTACTAAATCACCTGATCAAGGTATCAAGGCTATTCTAAGTGTTAATTGAATTTTGGGAGCTGCATATGTAGGCTAAGTAGTAATTATTTGGGAAAAGTAGTCGAAACACAGTTTTGCGCTTCCCAAAGCAAGTAGATTCTGGAAAAATGAACAGGAGAAACTGGAAGAGGAAGAAACTATGGGTAAATCACTTCTGCTTTTCTAATTGCTTCTTCTCTGTATCCTTTATTGGTTTTCTTTCACCTCCTTCTAACAATCCTTTTGATTTCATTTCTTATTTCTCAATACTCTATTTTGGTAATCTCAGCCACTCCTACAGCTTAAAAGATAAGCTTTAGGCTCCTTGCCACTTACTGGTTGAACACCTTCACTTAGAGATCTCACCAGCATTTCAAACTCACCTGGCCAAAACTGATCTCTCCAACTGGAAGTTGTCTTTCCTTTAATTTCCCATGCAACTTTGGATCTCTCCTTTGCACTTATCACATTCTGATTTGCATTAAGACAAAAGTTCTATTTGGATGCTTCCTTATGGTATTGAAGAGACCTTGAATTTCTGAAGGCTATGCCAGCTGAGAACAAGTTTTAGTATGTACAACTAAGATGAAAAGGTTTTGATTATGGGCCTGTTAACAGAGAGAAAGAGCATGGAACCTTGGAAAGAATGACGGATTTGAAGTCAGAGGTTGAGGTTTCATAATCCCACATCCTCTGGCTTCAAATCCCAGTTTTGCCAGTAACTACCCAGGTAACCGTGGGCAAATCATTTAAGTTCTCTGGGCCTCTATTTCCTCATTTGTAAAATGTGGGGGAGGGAGTTGGCCTAGATCACATTTAAGGTTTTCTCTTTGCTATGTCTATGACACTATGTCTCTTTTCTAAAGACCAGCTTAACTAATTTTGGAAAGGCTCATTATCAGATTATTCATAGGCAGCTCTATTAACTCATAGAAAGACTGTGATCTGTATTAGTAGATCTTTGAAATTTAGGCAACTAGGTAGTGCAGTGGATAAGAGCACTGGGCCTAGAATCAGGAAGAACTGAATTCAAATCCTGCTCAGAGACTTCCTTGCTCTGTGTGACCCTGGGTAAGTCATTTAACCTATCTGCCTCAATTTCCTCAACTGTAAAGGGGGATAATAATAGCACCTACCTCATAGGGTTGTTGTGAAGATCAAAGAAATAATAAATGGTAAAGCAGCCCTTAGCACAGTGTCCGGCACATAGTAAGCCCCACATAAATGCTAGCTATTTCACATTGCGGGGTGTGTGTGTGTGTGTGTGTGTGTGTGTGTGATGAACTGAGGTCAGGGGCTTTCTTATTTCATTATTGTGCCTTGAACATAATAGGCATTTAACAGATGTTGAAATGAATAATTCTAGTAGGAAAACAAAAAAGGCTCAAGAAACAAAAATAAAACTCATATTCCTTGTGTTTAAAGGATATATGATCCATAAAGTTGTAAAAGATGATTGAATGAATGTGAACTTACTGATAGGGCTTCATGTTTCCCAAAGGCAGAGGAGAGCCTCAGAAGTCTAGGGCTGGGAGGAACCTTACAGCTCACTTTTTCCAAATGGTTCATTTTATCGATGAAGAAACTAAGGAAAAGGGAAACTAGACATTCAAATTTGTGAGTGGAAGGGCAAAGGAAGGTGAGACAATTGCACCCGTGACTTTATCAGTATCGGGAACTCCAGGTAGAGAAACCTCTACTCAAGCAGATCCTGCAAATGTTCTGCAACTTGTGGTTTTAGAGAGTATTTTGGGGAGCCTCACAGCCAGTGGGACTTGGGAGTCTGAAACTGGGTCTTCCTGACTCCAAGACCAGCTCATTGTGTCACACTGTTAATAAAAAAGTAAGTAAAGTTATGGAACGTACCTCCACAAGTATCACAAGTTGAAAATATACTTTAGTTCTAGAGGGGTCTGGATTAATTTAGAAGAGGCTAAAGAAAATTAGGAACCTTCGAAGGTAGTCAAAAAAGTCAGCCCTTTCAGCCTCTAAGCAAAATAATGGCAGGAAGCCTGGGCTACCACCAGTACAGCTTCCTGGCTGGAGGAGGCTGAGACAGGTGGAAGCAGTTTGTCAGTTCTTAGGATGACAGGATTTGGAGGTGAAAGATAACTTAGAGATCATTGTTTAACACTCTCATTTTATAAAAGGGGAAACTGAGGCTAAGAAAAGTAAACGCTCTCCATGATCTGGTTCCATCCTACTTTTCCAGTCTTATTTCACATTATTCCTCTTCATACACAACATTTCTCAAGGTTTTCTTATACCTTTCTGCTTCTCAGAAAGTTTATATTCCTTCCACGCTCAGTTCAGGTCCCATGTGCTCTCCGAAGATCGTGATTTCACTAATTACTAGTGTTCTCTTCCTCCTCAAGTTACTCTATATTTTCTTATTTATGTACATATTATGTCACACCTTGGAATGCAATCTCCTTAAAAGGCCAAAACTGTGTGACTTTCGATTTTGCATGCCCATCACCCTGCTTTTGACACACTGGGCTAGTGCTCTGCACATAGTAGGCCCATAATGTTTGTTGAAGTACTATGTCCAAGGTCACACAGTCATAGGAAAAGGCAAAAGAGGAATTGGAGGCTGGTTAGATCCAGATCTAGTCATCTTTCCACTTCAAAGCAACAACTTCAAGCCAAGGGCAAACACACTGAACTGAACCGAATTCAACCAACGTTGTTCAAGGTAGGACGATGGAGGTAAAGAAGAAAGTGAAATTTCTACATTTAGGGAACTCCCATTCTGTTGGAGGGATACGCCATTTGATCAAATCGTAAAAGATAACTTGACATAGGAGGCACCACTAAAAACCGGCAAAGGAAGACATGGGAAACGAGAGATCGGGGAGGCAGTGCCAAGGCTCCCTGTGGGATATGGCAACCAAATGGGGGCGTATGGTAGTAATTTCAAGAGTCGGAGATGAGGGAGAGTCATAGTACCGCCATGGAGGTGAGGATAATATGAAAGCATATACAGGTAGGTTTGAGACAGTCAGCTAGCATTTATTAGGCACCTACTAGGTGTTAGGCACTGTACTAAATACTGGGGATACAAAGGTAAAAAACAAAAAGAGCAATCCTAACACCACCCCCACCCCCCACAAACCAGATTAAGGCTTTGTATGCCAAGCTGAGGAATTTGCGTTTCAGGGCGCTGAACACGCTATTCAGCAGTGGAGTGGAGTCAGATTAATGGATAAAAACGAAGAAGAGGGGCTGGGGGCGGCTCCTGGGGGCAGGAATCCCACCGGGGGCACCTGGGGAAGGGACAAGAGAGGGTGGTAGGAGAGGAGGAGGAAGATCTCGGATGGAGACGTCGTTTATCTCATCCTTATCTTCCAGGCTAGCACGGCCAGACTCCGAGGGTCGTAATGAACTGAGCACCGGGCCGGACCGCTTTTCCGCGGGGATGAGAAGCGCAGACCCAGCAGGGGGTGAGGGACACCCGGGGAGACCCCGGGAGTCCCGATTCAGGAGCCCCGACAGATGGTCCCGCGGATCCCCAGGCACAAGCACTTCCCCGTCCCGAACCTTACGGTCAATGCAGGACAGGACGCCCCGGACGCTTCCCCAGGCTGGCTTTTGAAGACCCCCGTGCAAGCTGCACAGCTGGGCGGCCAGGCGCCCGCCGCAGAGCCTCAGCATGGTCTCGCCGCTGTCAGAGGCTCGCTGTCTCTGGTCACAGGCCCAGTGTCAGGTTACTGGCTCGCGCAGTAATGCTCAGACTGAAACCAGCCGGAAGCCAGGGTGGTGGGGGGGAGAGGGCTGGGGCGGCCCCGCGGCACTCTGTGAGTTGTAGTCCTGCGGGCAGGAGCGGAAACCATAGCTCGCGACGTGCCTCCTGGGCGCCTTAAAGGAGACGCAAGGCGTAGCCTCGTGATCTTTGCGTGCTACCGGCGTCTGAGGGGGTGGCGAGTGCTCTGCGGAGGGTAAAAGTGGCTGAGGTGGGAGACTGTGGGAGAGTTGCGATTCACTTGAATAGGGGCTAGAAATGACGGTGGGAACGTGGGTCGGGGCTCCTGTAACTAGTGGAGCATTGAAGGTTGAAGCTGAGCGAACTGGTACCATTCTTGGGCGGGGTGAGGGTTACGGCTGTGCTTTCCTGCGCTTAGAGATCCTATGCCTAGAAACAGAGACGCTGCTTCAAACTTCCCTTTTACCTCCCGCTCGCTGCGTACTGGCAGGATGCCCTTTGACCTCTTCGCCACAACTTCCCCCTCCCCCACTTTGCCTTGTGCGTTTCCCAGGACGAGACCGTCGGCCGCCTTATCTGCTCCAGAGTTCCCATTTCTCCAGATCCCTGCTGAGTGACCATGCCGAGGCAACGGAAGAGGGTGTCCGGGTGTGCACCTGAGCCAGGTGAGCAGCAGCTCCGCGGTCCTGGGCCAGCGTTCCAGGGGCCCTTCTGCCACCTTGCCTGAAGGCAGCTATCTTAAGAGCTTGGCTCTGGAGAGCAGGGGTGTAATAAGTCACATATAAAAGACCCTCTTTGTTCATGTCCCATTGATAGAATGCAGTTATTGCCCTTTTTTTCTCAAGTATATAATTCTGTGGATTATCTGTTGAAGAAATCCAAGTTAGCAACAATTTTATGAAAAAAATGCCCCGTTACTATTAGAGAAATGCAAATTAAAGCAACTCTGAGGTTCCACCGCATACCTATCAGATTAGCAAAGTTGACAAAAAGAAAAAAGATAGTTGTTGGAGGAGCTGGAAAATACTAATATACTGTTGCACACTAATGCAGTGTTGGTAGAGCTGTGAGTTGGTCCAGCCATTCTGAAGAGCGCCTTGGAATTGTGTCCTAAAGTAATTAAATAGTGTATGTCTTTTGACCCAGAGATACTACCAGGATTATACCCCCAGAGACATCAGAGAAAGGAAAAGGAATCTTGTACACAAAATATTTGTATGGTATTTAAAAATAGGAAACTAAAAGGATGTTCATCTATTGAGGAATGGCTAAACAAACAAATAGATTATCTGTGCATTATGCGCAGGAAAATTTTCAGCATAATGTGAGTTATTGTTACTATTATTGTTTTCCGTGGTAATGGTGCTGGTTTTCTACTATCCTCCATCATGCTAATAGGCCACTTTACATCCATGAAATGTTTCTTGTGTGTTGTCTTCCTAGTGCAAGGCACTGTGGGAAATAGCAAAGGTAAGTCAGAGTCTCTGACTTACTCTGACTGGTTGGCTAAGAAGTATACACATGGCAGGAATGCCATAAATACAATAACAAAGTTACAGGCAGGGTGCTATTAAATTTTAGGGGAGGGAACGGAGCTGGGAACTGAATTGAGATGTGAACTTTCTAACAATTATTGTAGTTCAGTCGAAGTTCAGTCTCGTCTGAGTCTTTGTGACCCTATAGCACACCAGGCCCTTCTGTCCCCCACTATCTCCTGAAACTTGTCCAAGCTTCTGTGACACTCTCCATCCATCCTCTGCTGTCCTCTTCTCCTTTTGCCTTCAGTCTCCCAGCATCAGCATCTTTTCCATTGAATTCTCTCTTTTCATTATGTGGCCAAACTATGTAAGCTTAAGCTTCAGTATTAGTCTTTCCAGTGAATAGTCAGAGTTAGTTTCTTTAAATATTGACTGATTTGACCTCTGTGCTCTCCAAGGAACTTTCTCAGATTTTCTCAAGCCCCACAATTTGAAAGCATCCATTCTCCAGCACTCTACTTTCTTTATAATCCATCTCTCATAGCCACACATTACCACTGGGAAAATTATAGCTTTGACTATCTGGACCTTTGTCAGCGAGGTGATGGCTCTGCTATCAACAAATCTAACAGGGCAGGTAGGTGGCGCAGTGGATAGAGCACCGGCCCTGAAGTCAAGAGGACCTGAGTTCGAATTTGGCCTCAAACCAAACACTTGACACTTACTAGCTATGTGACCCTGGGCAAGTCACTTAACCCCAATTGCCTCACTAAAAAAACAAACAAAAAAACCAAATCTAACAATTAGAGCTGGCCAAAAATGTAAGAGACCTCCTCATGAGGAGGCAAAGTCAAAGTTTACAGCCCAAAAGATGGACAACAATCATCAGGTGTTGGAGAAAGTATAGATTCATGTTTTGAAAAAAGGTTAGACTGGGTCTGTCTCTAAAATCCTTTACAACTCTGGGAATCTATGATTTTTGACAGGTGGAGGTGGGAGGGAAGAAACAGTATGAATCACTGTTTGGAGATGGAAATATGCCAGGCATATGTAGGTACAACATTTAGTCCAGTTTGGATGAAACCTAGGTGAAATTCAGAGGAATTTTCTCCGGGAGAGAATGCTGGAAAAGTAGCCTGCATCAAGAGCATGGGGGGGGGGAATGTTTGGAGTCTGAACTTAATTGAGTGGGCAAGTGGGGAATCTTTGCAGGTTTCATATGGCATTTGTGTGTGGGATACACTGGAAGGGGAAGAGCTCCTAAAAGCCAGAGATAGTGCTTTGTTCTTGTGAAAAGGTAATTTGATCTGAATTAGGGATGGTAAGTAGGTGACAGATGTGAAAGGCCATGTGCAGAAGTTGAAGGAGAATGATGCATGAGGCAAGGACATTGTAGGTTGGACTCTTAATGATTAGGATTGCCTATGTTTCTTCCAGCTTGGCAGTTCTGTGATCCTAAAACCAACAGAACTCAGCAACTGATGAATGCTGGAAGAAGGAGTCATGATTTTGAACTTGGCAAGACTCAGAAAATGGTTTTACCATTCGTAGAAATGGGGAAAGCACAGAAGTTTGTTGGGGGAAGATGATGAATTTGGTTGGGGCATGTTGTCTTTAAGGTGCACATATCATTAGAGAGCAGATGTCCAGGACGCACGTAGAAGTCTGGTCTTAGAGAAGGAATCTGAGAGTTGTACTTGGAATGTAGTAAAAGCTGTGGAAGTGTATGAAATTGGCATAGGAGAGGGCTTTGGTAGAAAAGAGAAGGATGTAAAGACTAGAACCTTGGATATACCTACATTTTAAGGGGTAGAATGGAAGAGGGGTCAGTAAAGACAAAGAAGGCTCAGTGAGAGGTCAAGGAGAACCAGAATGATGTCATGGGAATCAAGAGAGGAGAGATTCAAGAAGATACTATGTATGAAGAAAAAGGAAAACCAGACCTTGCCATCAATGAGCTTACATTCAAATGGAGAAACATATAAATCAGAATATCCAAAATCAATACAAAATAGATGGGAAGTAACCTTATAGGTGATTGAGATGGGAATGGGGGGAAGAGAGAGAAAGACCAGGAAAGACCTGCTGGAGGGAGTGGGGAGGGAAAGCATTCCAGGCATGAGGAACATCCAATGCAAAGGCAAGGAGATGGATTACGGAAAGTTGTGTGTGAGTAACACCAAGCAGGTCCATTGAAAGCAATAGAATGTTTTTTTTTAAAAAAAAAAAAAGGTAGGAAAATGCAAGGCTGAAGAGAGATGAATTTAAGTGGCAAACAAAGCTCACAGGGTTAGGGCCTGGAGACTAGTCATTCAGGAAAATGGCACTGAATTGGCTGATTGGCTGGTCATCGTTGACCTGAAACAGCAAATAGAGTAGTGGACGCAGCAGCCAGATTTCAAGGGTTTTAGGTCACGAAGAAATGTAGGCATGAACTGTATCTTTTTAATAGTTTATTGGTGAAGAAAATTTGACAGCGAAGAGGGGGAGGAGAGATGTTAGCTTGAATATGTATCAGGTTCAAGGGAGGGTTTTTTTTTTTTTTGGTTTAAGGTTAGAGAAGACCTATGCATATTTTCAGCTAGAGGGGAAAGAGCCATTTGAAGGTGAAAGATTGAAGATACTGGAGGTATAGGGTAAAAATGGAGCAGGGGCTGGTAGGTCCAAGAGGACAGATAGGGTGGTTAGACCTGGCTAGGAAGAAGACCACTTGGGTAAAATTTTTCTGTGCATAGGTAATTAGGTCTGATTTTTAATAATGGAATAGTGCATTACATCTGTATAGTACTTTCCATAGTGTTTTTACATTAATCATTTTAAGCAAATTTGGGGGGGGGGCAGGGTTTCCAGTTCTGTGATGTCATCATTGTGGTGAAATCTTTCATATGGAAAACTTCCTTCAGGGATGGAGGTTGTCAACTCTTTGACTTACAATCTTTGAGAATTGCTTTGGGGTGCTAGAGGTTAATTGGTTTGCCCAGATTCGCCCACCCTGCTAAGATGTATGAAGAGCAGCACTTGAACCCAGACTTCCAAAACTTCTTACTCCCAAGCATATACCTCAATGCCTGTCCACAAACTATAATCAGGAAAATAAATCTGCTAGTGGAAAAAAAATCACAAAACACATTCCAAAGTCAAATACAAAAGACTTTTACATTTTAATAGTAATGAGAGCTAACATTAAATTGAGCTTTTTGAAAGTTGGCAAAAAAATTTTTATATACATTATCTCATTTAAGATGATTTTTTCACCACTCCCTTAGCATGGAAAACTGAGACGTTGCATATTCCTTTTTTCTAAATCAATTCCAGGGACACATAATTATACCTAATTATTCTCATCTCTCACCTTTCCTAGACAGGTACATCATCTCTCTCCATCCATTATGATTAATCACTTAATCAACAAGTCTTTATTGAGCTCTTATATGTCCAGCTATAGACTTCTACTATGGGAGTGCACAAAAGACAGATTGTTCTTGCCCTCTAACTACTTATACTCTAGTTAGGGAAATAAACCAGCACACTTGAAGAAATTAAAGGGCACTGTAAAACAGCATGTCATTTAGTGCCAAATTGTGTGAGGCCAACTAAAAAACCTTCACTCAAACTTGCTACCTCTAATGCCACTCAATTAGTCAGTCATTAAGGATTTATGAAACACAAACTTTGTGCCAAGCACTCTATGAGGTTCTGGGGATACAGAGTCAAAAGTGAGACAGTTCTGCACTCAGGCTTATCTTCTAATGGGAAATACCAAGCCCACAATACAGGAACATACAAATTATACAAATAATGATTATTTCTTTATTATCACTTGCACTGTTTACCTTGAAATAGACCAGAATGCCAATTGCAGCGTCCTAACTCTACAGGTAATGAAGTTGGTAGATAAGAGGCAAATAAACATTAACTTCCAATTGTCTAGAAATAAATCTCTCCCTCACGCTATGGCTACAATAATCTTCCTAATGTATAGAACCTGGACATGTTGCTCATTAGCTTGGAATTCACAATGCCATGGTGACTTTCCAGCCTTCTCTTTTACTGCTCACGTAGCAAGCATTTATTAAGTGCTGTTGTGTGTCAGGAGATGCAATAGTATCTTGTTCTTTTTCTTTCCTTTAGCAACCAGAAAATATTATCTATACTTGCTGCCTTGACTTTCCCACTTTCATTCCCGCTTTCCCATTCATTCCTTAAACCTATTGAAATTTGGCCTTTGCCTCACTATTAAAATAGTAAAAATATTAAAATAAAATATTTAAAATGTAATAAATACAATTTTATTAAAATAAGTCTCTCTGACCTCACTAATGACAGTATATCCAGTATATCCAGTGGCCTTTCCTCCCTGTCGTTTTCTTTGTTTATAACTGTAGCATTTGACACGGTTAGCTACCCTCTCCTTCTTGGCCCTTTCTCTTCGCTTTTTTGACACAGAACTGTAACAGTTCTTCTGCCACCTCACTGACTGTTCCTTTTCTTTTAGGTTTGGAGTTAGGAAAACCTGAGTTCCAATCTAGCCTTAGTCACTTACTAGCTGTGTGACCCTGGGCAAGTCATTTAACCTTTGTTTGCCTCAGTTTCCTCATCTATAAGATGGAGATTACTTCTCTCCCTGGGTGATTGTGAAGATCAAATGAGATAATTTTTGTAAAGCACTTGGCATAGTGATAGGCACACAGTAAGTGCTATATAAATGTTTACTATTATAATAATTATTAACATTATTTGCTTGTAGGGTAGTAGAGCTGGAAATGAAGTCAGGAAAAACTTGGGTTTGAATCCGACCTCTTCTATCTATTGGCTGTATATGTGACCATGGGTTTTACTTAATCCCTATAGTCTTGGTTTCCTCATTTGTAAAATGGGGATAATAACAGCACCTACCTCACCTCACAGGGTTATTGTGAGGATCAAACTCATTTGATTTTTAAAGTTCGTAACACAGTAAATGGCATATAGTGTTATATAAATGTTAGTTATCATTATTATTATTTGCTGATAGTGTGGTTTAACTCTTACCCCTTATACCTACTGGCTGTGTTTGTGATCATGGGTATCACTTAATCTCTAGCTTCAGTTTCCTCATTTGTCAAATTACAAATTTGTCAGTTTGCAATATTACCTACCATTCCTATCTCACAAGAGTTGTGAAGATCGGATGAGATAGTGTATGTAAAAGCGTATTGTAAATTTTAAAGTACTATGTAAATATCTATTAATATTCCTTTTTTACCTCTGAAGTGTGAGTATTCCCTTTGGTCATGTTCTTGGTCTTTTAATTTTTTTTTTTGTATGTTTTTCCTTGCTGATCTTATCCATTACCATGGCTTCAATTAGCCTCTCTATGCAGATGATTTACAGATCTTTCTCTCTACCTCAGCCTGTGGGAGTTAAGAAGTCCTGAGTTCAAATTCAGACTCAAGATATTTATTAGCTAGGTGACCCTGTGCAAGTCACTTAACCTATGCCTCATCTGCAAAAGGGGAATAATAATAGCACTTATGTAGGGGCAGCTAGGTGGCGCAATGGATAGAGTTCTGGACCTGAAGTCTGAAGGACCTGAGTTCAAATGATGCCTCAGGCATTTACTAACTGTGTGACCCTGGGCAACTCATTTATCCCTGTTTGCCTCAGTTTGCTCATCTGTAAAATGAGCTAGAGAAGGAAATGGCAAACGACTTCTGTATCTTTGCCAAGAAAACCCCAAAGGGGGTTACGAGGAGTTGGACATGCCTGAACAACCAACCAGAATTGTTGGAGCTCCAAGCTAATGTTTCCCATGGCTTATTGGAAATCTGTGCCCAGATGCCCTTCCAGCACCTCAAACATAACATGTCCTTTCTTCTGAAGCTTGCTTCCTCCTAAAACCTGGTCTGCCAGTAGTAACTTATTTCTGCTGATTGCACCACCGTTTTCTCAGTTACCTAGGTAAGTCTGAATTGTACTTATATACAGGACTTCTAAAACCCAAATGTAGGAATTTCTATTTATCCCCAGTAAATTTTGTCTTATTAAGGGATGGTCCATTGGTCATCTGATGTGTTGGCACTCCCTTAACGAGTCTGTCCTCAAGTGTTAATGAATTGGGAAAAAACAAAACAAAACTGCCAACCACCTAGATCCAGTCAGTTGCTAAGGGTTGTCCATCTTGTGTCATCCCTTTCACATAACCAGTCTGTTCTTACCCAGACTGTAGAACAATTTCCTAATTGGTCTACCTGCCTTCAGTCTATCTCTTCTCTATGCATTCAGAAAATCTTCCAGTTACATTCTTATGATTGCATCATTCATCTACTCAAGACTTCCTGCTTGCCTAGTGAATAAAGGGTAGACCTTGGATTTATTTTGTATATATTTTGATATACTTATGTATGTATGTAAGCTACCTCAGGGAAAGGAATGTTTGATTTTTGTCCCTGGTACCTAGTTAATGCCTGGCATATCATAGTAGGTTCATGAGAAATGCTGGCTAATTGATTGATTGACTCTGATCTTGACATTTAAGGCTCTCTATAACCAGGATTCAGTCTACCTTTCTAGCCTTCTCTCATATGACTCCCTTGACAGCTAGTCATCATTCGAGTGGGGGTGGGGGACCCCCATTCTAGCCCTGCTCATCTCACCTTGATCTTGTTGTCATTGTTCCTGCTCCTAGATTAGATTTCTCCTCATCTTCATCTGTGATGCCTTCCTTGATCCTTCTAGCTGAAAGGGAACTCATTTCCTCTTCATATTCTTCATGGCATAATGACTAAATCTCTCCTTTTTATTCCCCTTTTATATTACAGTTATTTTTATACAATTGGATTGCTTCTTGAGATTAGGGTCTATTGCTGTGTGTGTCTTTGTGTCCATAGTGCCTTGCATATAGTTGGTGCCTAATGTTTGTTGAATTAAATTGACTATCATTGTCATAAATCAGTGAAGAAACACCATTTTGGACTGGGGATAGCTTTGGTGGACAAGGTTGGAGTCAGCTAGGTCTTGAAGGATTTGTATTATATGGAAAAGAAAGTGGGGATTTCCAGGGAAGGGGCACATCATGAAAAAGACAAAGGACCAGGAACAAGCATGTCAAGTCCTTGCTTCCTTCTGTTTGTTGCAGAAATGGAGGCACCATCAGGTAAACGTACCAAGGCCACCAAGACTGAAACCCTAGACAAGCCAGTGGTAGAAGAAAAGACCGCTGACTCCCCAAAGAAGGATCAAGCCAGTAAACATTGTGGAAATGAGCCAAGTGCTTACTGGCTAATGAAATCAGAGCCAGAAAGCCGGCTGGAGAAAGGCATAGATGTGAAGGTAAGGGCTGAGGCAGCTGTCTCCATCATAGCTTATAGATAAGAGCTAAACATTTACCAGTCGGGGGGGGTCTCACTACTTGGACAGCAGGAATGAGAGCAAGGGTAGAAAATGAACAAAATCAGCATCTTACTGAACCTCAGTTTTTCGCATCTGTAAAATGGAGATAATACTTGTATTGCCTCTCCTGACAGAAGTACTCTGTAAACCTTAAAGCTCTGTCTCAGTGTAAGTTGGTATGATTAGTTGCTGAGCAAGACTTATCCTCTCATTACTATCTACTCTGTGGATTCTAGTATAACATTTTAATCCTGGTTTAGTTTTCCCCTGCTTTCTAACATGCTTCCAGTTACCTCCCTACATAACAGGTTGGTTTGTATTCAGGAAACACAAACTACTTTTTAAAATTATCTGAGAAAAATTGAATTAGGAATATTTTAGAAAATAAATGAAATTCATTCATAAGTGAGACATGTGACTTCAGTTATTTTATCTTTTGAATTACCTATGCTGTTGTTCCTGCCCATTAGCAAAGGCAATTAGAGTTGAATGCTTTTGCCCTTTATAGTTGGTGATCTACAGAGCTGCTTCAAAGCAAAACAGAAAACTTGGACAGAAGCAAGGCCATCTCCCCGGGCTGCTCCCACCCTGCCCTCAATCCAACTGGGGCATCTTTAGGTTGCCGTGACACCTATTGATAGAATCCCCACCTTCCATTTCTATCTGGGGCAGGAAACCTGGCAGAGAGGAGTTGATGTTGGGGCCAGGAACTAATAGTCTAATGTGTGAGAAGTTTCCATGTTATCCAACACGCTGTTCTAGTTATCCTGAGCTGGGCTGGACTCTGGTTCTTGGGGTCCTTGGCAGACATTTGCTAACCCTAGGCAGCTATGAAGAAATAGGAAGTGTAAAAGGATTATAAGATCGTAGCGTTGGGGCTGAAAGGGACCTCAGGGGCTACCTAATCAGATTTCCTAATTTTACAGAAGAGGAAGCTAAAGCCCAGAGAGGGCTAAGTGATTACCCCAAGGTCCCACAGCTGTTAGATCAGAGGTAGGATTTAAACCCAAGTCTTCTTGACTCAAGAATCGCACTCTTGCCACCATACCTCACTCCTTCCCTAGGTTTATGCTTGGAGCCTCAGTGCCCAAATAGCAGGACCTACATATCTCGACAAGTGTTTTTCTTTAAAATTGTCACTTTGAGAGGCTATGCATTTGTTAGAGTGATGCTCCCATTGCTCAGAACATTTCAAGGCCTCCTCTTTTTAAGCGGCCTCTAGAACTTATAATATATTCTTAGGAACATCTTTATACATGGCAAATTTCATTCTTTTAGGATTTATTTGATTTTTGGAAATAGCAATAAGTCATTTGAAGTCAAGTCAGGTGAAAAAGGTGGATGATGAGTTGAATAATCCTGTTTTTAGGAAAAATAATAAAATGACAATTATAATAATTTTGGAACATTGGACATCTGGGCAGTGTCCATGCTTGGGTAGGGCCCCAAAGCAGACAGCTATTTTGCATAGTGAAGGCAATGTGAGGGCAGGGAGTATGTGCTCAGAGAGGCAGTTATGTGTCCTGAGAGGTTCCTTGGGTTGCAAGGTACTAGTGATTGCCTAGGTGGGCAAACCTTGGGAATAGGAAAAAGTGGGGGCTGTCTTGCTTATAACATCCCTAATGCCTGTGACATAGGTGGAGGGGCCAAGAGGTCTTTGACAAATGACATTCTTGGATATCCAACTCATAACATTCTCTGATTATTACTATATTGTGCAGTTTGGCATTGAGGATCTCAAAGCACAGCCTAAACAGACAGCATGCTGGGATGGTGTTCGAAACTACCAGGTAAGGAGAGACGTTAGGGATCCAGAGCATGAAAAATATACTTGTTTCTTTTTTGCTGGATATCCTACATAGCTGGAACTTTTTGACAAGGCAGTATCTACCTGGGACCTAGCTATTATTAGGGTAATTTTTTTTTTGTTTGTTTGTTTTTTGGTGAGGCAGTTGGGGTTAAGTGACTTGCCTGGGGTCACACAGCTAGTGTTAAGTGTCTGAGGCCGGATTTGAACTCAGGTCCTCCTGACTCAAAGGCTGGAGCTCTATCCACTGCACCATCTAGCTGCCTCTTATTAGGATGTTTTCAAATGAGGCCTTAAGATCCACATGAACCATTTCCTAGCCAGTGTTCAGATATAATTTGGATACATTTTTCTCTGTTTTAGCAGAGAAATAATTAGTGTATCTTCCTTCTGTTGTATGAATAGAAAGTTCCACAAAAAAACACCTTTTGTGGATAGGAATTTGACCTCTGGTGGGGAATAGTGTTTCTTAGACATTAGGATATTCTAAAGACAATTGTTTGTTCTTCACTCTGGCACAGGCCCGGAACTTCCTGAGAGCAATGAAACTAGGAGAGGAGGCCTTCTTCTATCACAGCAACTGTAAGGAACCAGGCATCGCAGGCCTCATGAAGGTTAGACAAGATCTGGGATCGGAGGGCCAGGGGAACAATGATTCCCTCTTCCCCTAAATCCAGCCTGGGACAAAAGGGAGGTGAGGCAAGAGAAGGAAACCGTCACGTGCCTCCATTATTTTGTCATTCATCACAGGGAGATGAAAAGCCTAGTTGGCTCTTTCTGCAAGATAGAGAAGGGCCAGGCAAGGCAGAGAGCTCAGCTCTGGTGCAGTCAGCCCCACCCCAGCCAACAGACACTTCCCTTCTGTTGGCAGATAGGAGTGTGAGGCCTACACAGGTATGATAATAGCTTTACCAGGCTATCTCTAAAGGTTGTTTAGGATAAAATGTTAACTATGTCAGTTGAACTTTTTTTATTACCTGTACTAATTGAAGAGATTACAGTAACTGTATTTGGTTACCTTCATAACTATGTTTGACTTAGACTAATGGTATTAGTTAGCATTGCCTGAGTGACAGGATGAATGGTTTAAGATTATGCCAAGTATGACTGAGTTATTCTGAGTACTCTAAATACTCAAATCAACTATAAAGGACCCATGAAGATGTTATCTACCTCCAAAGAAACTGATAAATACAAGTATATATACATACATATGTACATAATATATCTTTGTGTCAAATAGAGGCCTTCTCTAGTATGTGGTGGGGAGGGAGTGAGATAGTTCAGAACTTAAAATGTAACCAAAAAAAATTTTTTTTTTAAAGATTACAAGCCTGGTATTAAAACACTGGACATGGATGACTCCTGCCTCAATCAGTAGGAGCTGAACATAATGGCAAATCATGGGACATGTATATTTTTGTTTCCAGATTGTAAAGGAGGCCTACCCTGACCATACACAATTTGAGAAAGATAGCCCTCATTATGACCCATCTAGCAAAAAGGACAACCCCAAGTGGTCCATGGTAAATTTGTTCATTCCTTTCTTCCTAGTCCAGGGAGGGATAAGAACAAAGAATGCCTTAGTGGGAACACATTAGAACTCTTTTAATAATAAAAGACAGTAAACAAGCACTAGAAATCTTGATTTTGAGGCGCAGGACCCTAGGGCCCTGCCCACTGAGAACATGCTGTATCTCTTGACAGGGGCTAATTCTATAGGTCATTCAAGACAGTGGACAGTTGCCTGAGTGAATCCAGGGGCTGGATCTACTATACCTCACATTCTTCTCTTTTAGGTGGATGTCCAGTTTATTCGAATGACCAAACGTTTTATTCCCCTGGCTGAGCTCAAGGTCCATCACCAAGCCCACAAAGCCAACGGTGGCCCTTTACAAAACATGGCCCTCTTCACCCGTCAGAGACTGTCAGTACAGCCCCTGACCCAAGGTGAGAGCTAGCCCATCTTTCCTTCTTACACTCATGCCAAAGCCACCTGAACTCCAGCTCAGACCTTTCCTTTTCTGTCTTTGGTAGGGGAATTTGATTTCGTCTTGAGCCTGGAGGACAAGAAGCCAAGTTAAATGGAAATTTCTTATTGAAAAGGGAAGACTGTTTATCCGAGCAAGTCATGCCTCTCTGAGAAGGAGGTGAGAGGGATTTAGATTTGCTGGTTAATTTCTTCAGGATTGGTATGTCTGTGTACCTGATAAGTTTTTTTTTTTTACTATTATTATTAAAATATCAATATAACAAAGCATTGGATGCATTCATCTTGTTTCTTAATGGCAAATTGTAAATTCCACCTTGGCTCTCACCTGTGACTTGGGGGGGACTTCTGGCTGCTTTTAGGCCTTTTAAAAACCAAGAGCTGGCAAAGTGCACGACAGAATGGAGGAGGAAGACTTCAACTGGTAGGTTTTTATCACACCAGCTCTTCAGATTTCTGCGTTCTGTCTTATCAGCAATCACCTGGATCCCTCAGGGCATTCTGCCAACATTAATTTATTGATGGAAGGCTGATAACGGGGAAAAGCCAGGGCTTTTTTCCCCAACCCTGTACCATGTGCAGGTGAGACTGCACTATTAAAGCACTAATTGGTATTTAGCAGGAACTGGGAGGCTGCTGCTTTCCTTTGTGACCAAGGTAAGGCTGGGCCCCTGCTTATGAGGGAGATTATCATGGGACAGAATGGACCACAGAACCTCACACTCCATGGGCACATGGTCTCTGGAGCCACAGTGGCTCCCTTTAATCAGAGAGACTATTAAAACAAGTTTTTTTTTGTTTTGTTTGTTTTTTAAAATACAGCCATTGAAAAGACAACAAATTAAGAAACATGTAAACACTGCAGCTGCTTAATTACAAGTTGCACTGCTTGATTTAGTACCTATTCACTCCCCAGGATGAGGGCATGGGAAAAGTGGAGGTGGGCTACCCTTGCAGTGACAGCTGGAGAAGGGAGAGGGGATGAGAAAAAGAAAAGTAAAGATCTGGTGTAAGAGCCTTGTCCATGAGAGAGCCGTAATAGGTTCTCTCTCCCCTTCCATAGGAAAATCTTAAAATTGATAAATCAGTAAAGTCAAGAAAGATCTGCACATCACTGGGAAAACTGGAGAAGATGACATGTTAGGATACAGAAGGGGGCTGCCAGCTATTAGCAGGTAGGCACACTGGAAGTCCTAACTCTGTGTTCTGAAACGGTCAAGACCCTCCTTAGCATGACGTTCAGCTTCCCACACTCAGTTACCCAGGGCAGTCAAGAGAGCCTTTACCCATGGGGAGCTTGTTTGTTAACACCAGCTTTTGTGATTAGGAGTTGAGGGTCTTCATAACAGCTTGACCTCTGCTCATCTCCAGATGGGGCAGAAAAAGCACGTTCACTTTTGCTGTTAAAAACACAGTGTCACAGAGAGGGAAATGGCTCTTTTCCCTTTATATCACAGAAACATCCAGATGAGATTTTTTTTTTTAAATGGGGAAAACAGCAATAGCCCTAAACTCTGGGCAGTCATCCGGTAAAGATGAAGACTCAATTTGGCAAGCAGAATCATTTAGAAGTTAGGATAGCCATCGTCCTCTGCTGAGGCCCTCATGTCCTTTCCCTTCACTATAAGTGGGGAAATTAGATTCTAAAGAATCTGGGGTGGTTACAAGAGGGTGATTTTCAAGGGTTCAAAGCCATGCCCCCATATCCCTGAAAGGAGGTAGGAGGCCTGGTGGGAGTGGTGATTGGCTATGGGGTAAGCACTGGCCAAGGCTGCAGTTTCTAACTCTCATTTCCCTTAAAGGGAAGTGAGATCTTTTGCTTAGGGCTTAAAGGAATACCCATGTTCCCGTACGTAGAGGACCTGTGACCCCTGAAGTGTCAGTGTCAAAACCAGATGTTGGGGCCCAAAAGAATGAGTTGGATGCAGAAACCAGGTAGCTGTTAGACATCAGTGCTTCAAGAGCAGGCTGACTGCTACATCTGAACACTAGCTTTCAGAAGTCTCATTTTCAGTAAGTGTTGTTTCTCACAACACTGCCCCCTGCTGAGCTTCCCTTTCCAGGCTTGGCTGTCATCCCTTTGCTTAGGCTTCTGTTCATGACATTGAAGATGATCATAATTTAAGCAAGAGGGAAGCATGTGTTGAAAGGAGAGTGTCTGTGTCTCATCACTGGAATTCATTTTTTTGAGAGGGGGAATGGGCTGGGGCCAGAGAAGAGGAGATGGCTCCTAGTGGTGTTTTACCACCACATGCAAGACTCGCACTCCCAAAGAGGTAGATTCCTGATCTTGAATTATTCCTGCCCTTTCTGGGCTTTGCCTGCCTAGGCCTACTTCCTGTCACATTCTTGGGAACTGAAGAAGGGGATGGTATAACTGGGACCATGTAAGGTCAACATCTGCAGATGAAGATCCCGGTGACATTCCTAGCCCCTTGGCTTGGAAGGAGCAGACAGTAAAGGGCCAAAGGACAGGTGAGACCCTGCCAACATTCTACTCAATACACAGACCAACTTTTGCTCTACAACACTCTTGGTCCAATAGCCTTCCTGCCAAGGGCAGGATCCTTCACCCCTGGGGACCAAATATATTTGGGGATACGCTCCACCCCCCTGCCCTAAATCAGCCCTTGGGTTCTAAAGCTATCCAAGCCTCCTGGGGCTGCAGGCATAGTCCTAGGGGAATGCTTCTATACCTGTCCCCTTCAGGTTCTTCAGAGAAAGGAATTAAAGTCCTAAATGGAATTTGTTTTTGTTTTCTCGGGTTGTGTGTAAAGTGTCTGCAGAGCATCTCGCTCCCCTGCCCCCTCCCCCTTGAGCAGCTGGTGTTGGGTGAGTGAGGGGTGAAGCCCAGCAGCTTCTTGGCCCAGAGGCCTCACTGCCGGCTGTTGTTGTCAGACAGCTGGCCGGGGGTCCGGGCTTCAGGGTGGGAAGATGTGCCCTCGAAGCGCTGGGAGGCAATGGCTGCCTGGTGAGACATACTTTTTCGCACAATGTCCCCTTTCCTCCATAACACCACTTCCTGTTGGGGACAGGACAAGGTGCCATAAGTTGTAGAACCTTAATCCCTTACCCTCCCCTTTCCACAAATACAGTGTAAAGGGCTTGTTGGAAAGAACTGGGTCAGTAGGGATAGCTGGCATTTGTCTAGTGCTTTAAAAATACTGCATTTTATCCTCACATTATCTGTGAGTGATAGGTGTAATGACTGTTACCATTTTACAGATGAGGCAACTGAGACAAACAGAGCTTGAGTGACTTGCCCAGGCTCACAAAACTAGTCATACCTGGGGTGGGGGATTTGAACTCAGAGCTTCCTGGCTCCAGGTGCAGCGCAGGCAGCCAGGAGATCAGAGGGGCTCCAGAGCCTAGAAGGTAATGCTAAGGCAAGAGCACAGATCGTGTGAGCATTCTCCTACTCCCAGAATCTGGTTTGAGGAATGAAGAATTCACTGGCCCTGAGCAGGCTGGCCCCTTGGTAGAAAAGTCACTGAGAAGCTCACCCCTACCCTGCACTGGGCACAACGTTGCCTCATCTGTCCCTATCGAGGGCTGGGGTATGAGTGGCTGCGCCCCAGGCCTCACCTGCTGTTTGAAATAGCGTCGCTCCTCTTCGTCAATCAGCACCAGGTTCAGGTAATACCGCACTGAGAACTTCTTGTTGATGTCTCTCATGGTGGGAGTCAGCTCGTATCCAGCCAGGAAGAGCCGGATTGGAATGGATTCCCCTGCAAGGAAGAAGGGAATCAGGTTAAGGAGCAAAGCAGCGCACCCGGTCTGGGGAGGCCCCTACCCTGCAGTCTCAGGAAGCTGAGGTGCCTGCCAGACTGCTTCCTGGGGGCCCCACCAGCCTTCACCACTGGCACTGTCCAGGGCATGAAGGGGAAGGAGCAACCCTGTGTGCTGCTGCTCCTTCTGACTTACTTCACCTGGAGAAGGTGAACAGGAGCAGTGTTGGGATGAGGAAAGCCATTTTTATGATCTATATGAGAAGGGTGGAGAGGCGTGTGATTTAGTTAGAAAAGAGCTGGTCTTAGAGACGGGAAGGCTGATGCTCCAGTCCTGCCTCTGAGACAGGCTGAGTGACCACAGGTGCGGAACCTAGGGTCACTCTTAAGAATGGGAGTTGGGGAGGTGTGGACCTGCATTGATGGAGGAAGTCCATCACCAGGAATTCTCTGCTCACAGGTCTCATGCCTCTCCTCAATATAAAGGACTATCCACCCATTGGATTTTATATGGCAAATGTTAAATCCCACACTTCTCCTCATATTAGCCAGTACATTTAACCTGCCTTCTATGAGATAATAGGAAATTATATTTTTAAAGCATTTAGCACAGTGCCTAGCACATAGTAGGCACTGAAGAAATGGTTATTCCCTTTCCTCTCCATTCCTAGTTGGTATATGCTCAAGAAACACCTAACTATTTTAAAAGTGTGGTTACGTGGTCTTTTGCAAAAACAATGGACTGGGAGCTGAGGGACCTTGACCCTAATTTCAGTTATGCCACAAACTAACTTAGTGTCCTTTAACAGGCTGGGCCTCAGTTTTCCTATCAGTAAAATGAGGGAGTTGAATTAGATCTAAGGTCTTTCCAGCTCTAATGACCAATGAATCTATAATCTTCAACTAAACAAAACAAGAAAGGCAGGGGTGGGAGTGGTCAGAAACAAGCAACCTATGGTACAGTCATTATTTGTTTGCTGATTTTGGATTATTCGTGTTGCCTTTTACTAGCACAGAAAACTGATGATGATTGCACAGTTCATGGGAGAAAAAGTGAGATGGAGTCCAAAGGCTAGAACCCTGGTCCCCGCTATACCTTGCACAGTACTCTACGTTTGATAGGTACTCAACAAATGTTTGAGTTGATGGTGAAGGGGGGTCTTAGTACTCTTGTCAAATGCCTGCTTTTCTGTCTATGAGATAAATCCTTATCAGCATAAAACAATTGCTAATAAATGGGATATATCTCAGAAAGTGCCAAGAAATCTTTAGACTGTAAAAAGAAAATGATATAAAGATACAATTATTACAAGCAACTCGATCCTAAGGGATCCTAGAAAGTACAAAAAAAGGCATGGGAAACTAGAATTCATAAAGAATCACAAGTTCTCCAATTTAATTAATTTTAATTGCCCTGTAGCTTTCAACTACATTTGCTTAGCAGAAATGACTGACAGGCATTCTTTTTCCTGTTTCGAAGTAAGGCAATGACCAAAACGTAAAGCAGCAGAAGCGGCAAAATCCACAAAATGTATAATCGCCTGCTGACCGAGCAAACAAGGAAATCCCTCTGTGACAAAGCTGGAGCCTCGGGCTCTGCTATAATCCAAAGACATTTTGAAAGTAAAGGTCAGCAGAAGTTGGTTGGCCTGCAGAAGCTCACCTCTCACAGGTGCTCCATCCATGATCTCATACTTGGCTATTGTGTCATTCTCGTGATAAACATTAGGGCCCGTCCCTGTAGTCTCCCTCTTGATAATGTCAATCTCCATGTGTTTGATTTTGATCCTCACCAACAGGAAGTAGATTTTCCCCACAATCACATCTTTCAAGTGGTACCTGGAGAGAAAGAAACAGAGAGAGAGTAACAAGAAATTGATGGTTAGGAAAACTGACAGTCCCAAAGCTTCACACTTGTCCCATTTTCAGCAGGGAGCTATACTTAACTGTTTAACATGTCTATCCCACTCATAGTCACCCGCCTTAACCGTCAGTAGTTACAATGCTATTTCCCAACAGAATCTTTTCCCTAGATTTTCTAACTTTATTTTCCAGAACCTGGCTTAAAATTCACTCTGTCCAGCAAGTTTTTCTTCAGAATCACTTCACTCCAGTCACTACTCTCTCTACCTTCATCATCGTGGCACACTGTCTGTATCAAGTATTCGCTCCTAACTCTTAGGAGTTTGGAGGCCAGGAATCAGACCTAGTCTTTTCTCTTCGTGAGGCTCATGCGGTAAAGGCTGGTTGGCTCTTGTACACAAAGGGAAGCTAGTAGGTATAAACAAAGGTGTGCAAATCACACTTTCCATGTGAAGCAGACCCACAATGCTGTCATTTTGGAACATTTGACACTTAATTCCTAAAATGCTGCCACTGTGCACAATATTTCTGGAACTCTTTTTGTTTTTTTTTTTTTTTTGGGAGGGGGTTGCAATTGACTTGCTCAGGGTCACACAGCTAGTAAGTGTCAAGTGTTCGGTCTGAGGCTGGATTTGAACTCAGGTCCTCCTGACTTCAGGGCCGATGCTCTATCCACTGTGCCACCTAGCTGCCCCTATCTCTGGAACTCTTAAAAGTAGTGTTGGATTTAGAGTCAGAGAACTTGGGTTTGAATCCTGACTGTGCCACTACTTGGTGTATCCTTGGAAAAGTTACTGGGCATTAGTTACCTCTATGTAAAATGCTATGTTTTAGGGGGGAAGCAGTCAATGTTAGACTAGAGGATGGATTAAAGAGGGGAGCAACTAGAGACAAGGAAACCATCCCAGAGGCTAACAGTCCAGGTAAGAGGGGATGACAGCCTGATAACTGAGAGTAGAAAAAAGGAAACTCATTCAGAAGATGGAGGTAAAATTGACAAGCTGTGACAAGTGATTGGATAGGGAGGGTTCAGGAGAAAGAAGGATGCACTGAGGGGGATTCTGAGGTTACGTGCTGGAGTGACTGGGAGGATGGTGGTATTCTTAACGGAAACAGGGATGCTTTTAGGGAGAAGACAAAATTTTCCTTTTTGGACATGTTGAGTTTGAAATTCAGCAAGGCAGTAGGCAGCTGGTAGTGGGAAACCAAGGCACTGAGAATTTAAGTGATTTGCCCATCATACAGTTTTTTAAGTGTCTGAGTAAGGATGTTACCCAGGCCTCCTGACCTAAGTTGGAGCACTCTACTATACCACAACGGTCAAGTTCTATTCTAATGGTTGGACCCATTTATCTTGACCCTTTCTTCCCTGCCCAATCCCCTACTCCCAAACCCAGGAACAAGCAATTATCTCTAAGACATGAGTTCTTAGTAACCTTTATTGTGTAATGGACCCTTTGCCAGTCTGGTGAAACCTATAGACCTCAGTAAAGTTTTTTAAATAATCGGAGGAAGCGTTAACTTTGTTAGGTCAGTAAAAATAACAATGTAATTTTTTTTCTCCATCCAAATCCATGAACCCCAGATTAAAAACCCTTCCTAGATCTAGGGAAAGGACACTCACTTGGATTTGTTGTACTCAAATTCAATGTGCAGACAGTCCTCAATCCCAACCTCCATCTTGATTGATGAATTGAGCTCTGGGTATGTACTAAGTGTATGGACCACAATGTCCATCTCCTTGACAACATCATTGAGCCGGCGGCTGATGGTGGCTCTGAGGAAGTACCTGCAGATATTAAGCCATTATGGATTAAGATAGTTCCCCATTACAAAATATTATATACACACACACAAACACACAACAGTATGTAAAGAAGCACACATATGTACCCAAAGGCATATATGTGTGTACATACATACATATGTATGTATACAAATATGTATATTTATAAGCATACATATGTATTTGTCTATATATCCAGAGGCATACTATCAGTGCCCTGGGCTTGAACTACACTCATTGAAGGGAAGAATGAATGGTTTATAAAATTTCTTTAAGTCCCAACTAAAATCCTTTACAAGAAGCCTTTCCCCAACCCCTCATAATTCTAGTTCCTTCCCTCTGGTGATTATTTCATATTTACCTTGTACGTGGCTTATTTTGTGTATATTCCTTTGCATGTGGTCTCATCCATTAGACTGTAAACTCTTTGAGAGCAGAGACTATCTTTTGCCATTTTTTTGTACTCTTAGGCTTAGCACAGTGGCTGGCACATAGTAGGTGCTTAATAAATGTTGATTGATTGATGTAGAGCTGAAAGGGACCTATGAAATCCAACCCCCTCATTCTACAGATAAGAAAAGTGAGGCTCAGAGAGGTTGTGACTTGCCCAAGGTCATATGCCTAGTTAAGTATCTGAGGCTGGACTTGAAATCAGGTCTTCCTAACCTCCAAGTCTAGCACTCACTACGTCACCTAGAATGGAGAATGATAAACCAAAGCCAAAGGATACAAGCTGCAGGGAAGAAGAACTTCCTAACTCAATATCATAAGGAAGAATTATTTAACAATTGTAACTTTAACAATTGGTTAATTTGTTAGGTAGTAAGTTTGCAGTCATTAAAAGTGTTCAAGAAGAGGCTGGATGACTACTTGTCAAGGAATTCTTTTTTTTTTTTTTAAACTAATTAATTTTTAGTTTTCAACAATCACTTCCATAAGCTTTTGAGTTTTAAATTTTTCTCCCCCTCCTTCCACCTCCCTTCTCAACACGGTGTGCAATCTGATATAGGCTCTACATATACATTCCTATTAAACACATTTTTACATCAGTCATATTATAAAGAAGAATTAGAACCAATAAGAGTAACCATGAGAATGAACAAACAAAACAAAACAGAAGAAAAAGACCAAATAGTATGCTTCAATCTGCATTTAGACTCCATAGTTCTTTCTTTGGATGTGGATAGTATTTTCCATCATGAGGCCTTTGGAAATGTCTTAGACCCTTGTATTGCTGAGAAAGGTTAAGTCTATCAACATTAGTCATCTCACAATGTAGCTGTGACTGTGTACGATATTCTCCTGGTTCTGCTCACTTCACTTAGCATCAGACCATACAGGTCTTTCCAGTTTTTTCTGAAGTCTGCCTGCACATCATTTCTTATAGCACAATAGTATTCCATTACATTCATATACCAATTTGTTCAGCCATTCCCCAATTGATGGGCATCCCTTCAATTTTCAATTCTTTGCCACCACAGAAAGAGCAGCTATAAATATTTTTGTACATGTGGGTCCTTTTCTCATTTGTATGATCTTTTTGGGATATAGCCCTAGAAATGGTATTGCTGGGTCAAAGGGTACGCACATTTTTATAGCCCTTTGGGCATAGTTCCAAATTGCTCTCCAAAATGGTTGAATCATTTCACAACTCCACCAACAATGCATTAGTGTTCCAGTTTTCCCCCATCTTCTCCAACATTTATCATTTTCCTGTTTTGTCATGTTGGTTAATCTGATAGGTGTGATTTGGTACCTCAGAGTTGTTTTGATTTGAATTTCTCTAATCAATAGTGATTTAGAGCATTTTTTCATACGACTATAGATAGCTTTAATTTCTTCATCTGAAAGCTGCCTGTTTGTATCTTTTGATCATGTATCAATTGGGGAATGACTTGTATTCTTATAAATTTGACTTATATATATAGTTCTCCATATATTTTAGAAATGAGACCCTTATCAGAGACACTGGTTGTAAAAATTCTTTTCCAGTTTTCTGCTTCCCTCCTAATCTTGGTTGCATTGGCTTTGTTTGTGAAAAAACTTTTCAATTTAATGAAATCAAAATTATCCATTTTGCATTTCGTAATGTTGTCTATCTCTTGTTTGGTCATAAATTCTTCTGTTCTCCATAAATCTGACAGGTAAACTATTCCTTGCTCTCGAAGTATGCTTATAGTATCAGCCTTTATATCTAAATTGTGAACCCATTTTGACTTTATTTTGGTATATGGTATAAGATTTTGGTCTGTGCCTAGATTCTGCCATACTCTCTTCCAGTTTTCCCAGCAGTTTTTGTCAAATAGTGAGTCCTTACAGCATAAGCTGGGGCCTTTGGGTTTATCAAATAGTAAATTACTATTGTCATTGACTACTGTGTCTTGCATGTGTAACCTATTCCACAGATCCACCAATCTAATTCTTAGCCAGTACCAAGTAGTTTTGATGACTGCTGCTTTATAACGCAATTTAAGATCTGGAACGGGTAAGCCACCTTCCCTAGCATTTCTTTTCATTAGTTACCTTGATATTCTGGACCTTTTGTTCTTCCAAATGAATCTTGTTATTATTTTTTCTAGCTCTATTAAATAATTTTTTGATAGTTTGATTGGTATGGCACTGAATAAGTAAACTAGCTTAGATAGAACTATCATTTTTGTTATATTAGCTTGGCCTACCCACGAGCAACTGATGTTTTTCCAGTTATTTAGATCTGACTTCATTTGCGTGAAAAGTGTTTTGTAATTGTTTGTCAAGGAATTCTTAAGGGGGCAGGAGGTTGGCCTAAATCCTTAAGATCTCTTCCAACTGTTTAAGATTCTGTTTTATGAAATCAGGCCAAAAGAAGAATCTGATGAGCAAACTGACTTTTGCACTTACTGCTAATTGTTCTCTTGTCTTGCATTACTGTGGACAACTTTAATATTCATGCTTATAACTCATAACATTCTGACCTTGAAGTTGCTCGTCTTCCTCACTATGATCTACTATCCCGCTCCACTTCAAAAATCTACCAGTGGAGCTATGCCTTGGACCTCATAATCATTTGGAATTGATCTACCTCCCAAAGATCTCAAATGCTGAGTTTCTCTTTTCTGATCTCTTAAACCTTTTTCAATGATCCACCCTTTGTGGTTAGAGTGTTTTGCTTATGACTAAGTCCTCCCTGAATCTACCCTTTTACTCCCTTCCTCTCCCTTCTCCTTCCTGTTGAGTAAAATGTATTTTTCTGCACCCAACTCTGTGTGTGTGTGTGTGTGTGTGTGTTCGTTCTATCCTCCTTTGACCACTTCAGATGAAAGTGAGGTTCAGGTGTCACCCATTCCCCCCATTCCTTCCTGTTTGTATAGACTTCTACTTGTGTATCCTGATCATGTGAAATAATTTCCCCCATTTTTCCTCTGCCTTTCCTCCCTCCCTTTCATAAGATCATAACAAAAGCACTTGCAGGTCCTCTGACTTACTTAACCTCCTTTATGACCCTAGATGATAGTCTGAGGGTTCTGAAGGAACTTACTTATATCATCTTCTCCTTTTAGAAGGTAGATACCTCATCCTTGTTTAGTTCTTTTTTATTACTTGCCCATATAAACCTTTTTATGTTTCTCTTGACCCTTGTGTTTATATTTCAAAGTTTGTACTCAGCTCTGGTCTTTTCATTAGGAAAGCTTAGAAGTTTTTTATTTCACTGAGAATCTAATTTTTACCCTGTAGGATTATATTCAGCTGTGCTGAACAAATTATTGTTGGTTATAAGCATGTATCTTCTGTCTTTGCAAGTTCTTTACTCTTTCATGAATAGCTTTCAGGGAGTCTAGTGGTTCTTAAATTATCTCTCCTTGATCTGTTTTCTAGGTCAGTTGTATTTGCTACCTTATATTTTCTTTCTTTCTTTTTTTAATCTTTTGACTTTTGTTTTTATATTTCTTGCTGTCTCATGCAGTCATTACCTTCTATTTGGTCCATTCTAATTTTTAAGGAGTCTTTGGGTTGGGTAAGGTTTTGTGTACCTCTTCAGAACTTCCACCCCCTACTCCTGGTTTTGCTCTCTGGAGCTAAGCAGATCAGGCTCAAGAAGCACCAGGACTTTCATACAAAAAGGTCCTTTTATGGCCTTCTCCACTCAGCACTAGTCTCCTTCTCTAAGACTGACACACAAGAGCTTCCTGCAGTTTATGTTCCAACCAAATTGGTCACCTTGCTGTTCTTCATATGTAAAATTCCATCTCTTTTATCCATGCCTTGTCGGAGGCAATTCCCCATATCTGGAATTCACTCCCTCCTCGTTTCTGCCTTATGGAATTCCTGGTGTGAACCTTCAAGGCCTACCTCAAGTGTCATCTCATACAGGAAGCCCATCTTGTATGCTAGGTTAAAACACCCTCCCCCCATTATTTTGTATCTATTTCAAAAAATATAATTTGCATTTGATTTTCTTATTGTTTTCCCTCAATAGAATGTAGGCTCCAGGAGGACAGAGGTTTTATATTTGTTTTTTGTCTTTTTATTCCGAGCATCTAGTAAAATGCCTGACACATAGTAGGTGCTTAGTAAATGTTTGCTGAGCAAACTGAAGATTCTATTTTTAGTCTTTTCACTTGTTTTTCATAATCCTTCCCACAGTGAGCTAATCCATTCCCAGACTTCCAACTATTTTCCCTGTGTGGATAACAGCTCTTTAATCTTGATCTCTCCAAAACTCCACTTTCAGATTTCCAACTGCCTGATGTACATTGCCACCTAATATCTCAAAAACACCTCAGAGACACTGAAATCCAAATACCTCCTCTTCTACACGTCAGCCCCTTCCATATTTCTGTACTATAAGTGTCCAATCACCATGATTAACTCTGTGGTAATATTTTACTCTCGCTACTCTCTCTCCCTACTCCCACTGGTTGCCAAGAGCCCTTACGTCATTCCTCCAGAGTTTCTGGAATCTCTTTCCTTCTCTCTGTTCCCATTCCCCCACCCCAGCTCAAACCCATAAGCCTAGAGTTTTGCAAGAACATCCTAATTGGCCTCCCAACCTCAGGCACTTCTTGCCTTCACAAAAATTCTTCCTTCAAGCTGCCAACGTTCTAAGTAGAAAGTCTTATGCTCTTTCACGGTGTCCTCCATAGCATCCTGCTGTCTAGTGAATAAAGACATATTCCTTAAGCTGGCCTTCTGTGCCCTCCACAGCTGTCCCCAACTGATCTTTCTAGTCAGATCTTTCACTACTTCTCAAGAACTGTATGTTCCAACCAGTCTAGAATATTTGCCATTCTTTGAACACTTAATATGTTTTCCCACTCCTGCCATTCTAATCATCCCACACCATCCCCCGACTCTCCCAATATCTTATTTTGCCTAATCAATACGAGGAGCACCACACTGTAGTGGACTTGGAATCAGAGAACTTGGTTTTGAGGCCAAGGTCATCCATCCACAACATGACAGTATATAAGCCTGCCACCTTTCAATACTGAAAGGATAGGAATAATGTATATATGCAGGGCTATGGATCAAAGTGAAAAAAAAAGTTAAGCAAATCAGCAAATAACCCACATGTGGACCACTTTTGATAAATTTTTAAACCTAAGCCAAATTTCCCCTCCTTATGGGACTATTGTCAAAGGACACCTCTTCCTTCTGCCTAGCAGGTTAAGTGTTGCTGAGAATTAAAAAATTGATTTATGATATTAGAATAGTGCAAAAATAATGAGGAGACAAAGTCACTGTAAAAAGATTTCAATGCCAAATTTAAGTAACTTCTGAATTATCTATATTGTTCTTGCCTAATGACAGATTAATTTGGGGTGGAGGGAAATCAAATGATACAGGTGTACAGCAACACAGATTTCAGACTTGTACATGATGGTTTAAAAACTGGGCATCCACAAAGCCTCCTGAGGGCATAGGGCAGGAATAGTGTGTGTTGCTGACATCCCCAGCCTAGCCTTAGTCCTTAGCCCCATGCTAAAAATCAAACAAAATGAACCAAACTTGTTAAACCAAGGAGGTTATTGAAGATGATCAGCATTTTGATAGCTGGATCTCAAGCAAGGGGGCCTTGGGTTCAGATTTTTATTCTATTCCTTATGCCCTTGAACAAGTCACTTTGCTTATTTGGGCCTTAGTTTCCTCATTTATCATGAGGCTACACTAATCTCTAAGTTCTCTTCAGGTTTTCAATCTATTCGCTGACCAGTGATGATGGAAAGAAAGCATGATGAAAATACCCAGGAGTAGTTGCTGCTCTTGGTTTTCCATCACCAGGCTCTTAAAACCAGCCCCCTTTTCCCAGGACTTTGAAGCACCAAGCACATATAAAATGCTCCTAGTTCCAGCTATGTAATTCATTACTTGTGTAACTGTGGACAAGTCATTTCACAACTCTGTGAGTTCCCTTTTAGCTCCAACATCCTATGCTTCATAATACTTCTTAACTTACTATTTTTTAAAGAACTTGCATATTATTATCTCATTTTAGAGCAGCCAAGTGGTGCAGTGAATAGAATGCCGGGCCTGGAGTCAGGAAGACCTGAGTTTAAATCTGGCCTCAGACACTTACTAGCTGTGTGACTCTGAGCAAGTCACTTAACCCTGTTTGCCTCAGTTTCCTCACCTGTAAAATGAGCTGGAGAAGGAAACAGCAAACATCTCCAGTGTCTTTGCCAAGAAAACCCCAAATGGGGTCATGAAGAGTTGGACGTGACTAAACAACAACAACAGTTTTGTTTTGTCCTCACACCACTCCCTACTTTTCAAAAAAAGGAAACTGAGTAATCAATCAGATAATTTGGTCCAACGTCCACAGGAGGGACTAAAATTCATGTTGACACCTAGTGCTTTTTCTGTTAGGTCAAATATACCCTAACTTTTCAGGGAAGCCTAGTGAAAGGAGATGGCCTCAGTCTTGGACTTCCCTTTTAATCAGGATGACTGACTGGGAGAAAGCAGAAATGAGGGTTGGTGTGGAGCACTGCCCCATAGTGGCAGCTCTGGGTGAGCACAACTTACCTTAGCTTTACATTCTGTCCTGTGTAAGACTCATAGGGCTTCTCCACGTGGGTGAACTCAAAGTCGAAGGTCTGGGACTGTGTGAACTCACCAGGCCTGGCCAGGTCCTTCACCAGTGACACAAATTCATGGTGGTTCCCTCGATCATAGTAGAGCTCTGGAGAGACAATAATCACTTCTTCTATTTAGGTTCCTTAACTCAAGGGAGACCTAAGAAAGCAGTTGTCACCAGGGAAAACTACTTTATTTACTTTACTGAGACCTTAGCCAGTCCCCTTCATACCCTCTACCACAGATCCCTACACCCCAGAACTACCAGGTTCTTCCAGCATTTGTCAGTCAACAAACCCTTCTGCCTTTCCACCCTAACTGCTTCCTCCCTGCTTTGCCAACCCCTTTTGCAACCATATCCTTTTGCAACCACTGCCTCACTGAAATCCTGTGGGTTCCACCATCAGTGCTGCTCCTCAATAGTAAACTAACACCTGTGCAAAGGAACTGAAATTCATATACTGCTTAAAAGCTTGCAATATGCTTTACATATATTTTCTCAGCAATGCTATGAGTTTGTGACTACATCTTGACTTTACAGAATAGGAGACTGAGGCTTAGAAAGACTAACTGGTTTGCTTATAATCACACAACCACTAGCCTGGCTTGAATTTGAACCTGGGTCTTTTTGACTCTAAGTCCAATACTCTATCCACTAAGCCACTATGGCTCCCATTAACCCTGTTCCCACCCTTTAAAAACATCATTCCATGTTATAATAACTAGCATTATATTAATTATAATTACATTAATTATAGCTAGCATATTGCTTTAAAGTTTACAAAGCACTTTACATGTTATTTCATTTGGTCCTTACAACAACCCTATAAGGTATATAATCCTTTTAATTGTCCAAAGCAATTTTAGGCCCATTATTTAATTTTATCCTCAAAACAATATTATGATTTGGTAGGTCAGGTGGTATTATCCCATTTGATGGATGAGGAAAGCAAAAGCATAGAGAGGTTGAGTGACATACCAAAGGGCATGCAGCTAGAGGAGTTGGGACAAAGCCTAGAATCCAGGCTGTCATACCCCTAGTCCAGGGTTCTTAACCTGGGATCCATGAATTTTTTTTTTTAATTTTGATCCCTGCTTTTCACTATAAATGATTTCCTTTTAAGCCTAAAAACACTGTTCTGAGAAGGAGTCTATAGGCTTCACCAGACCACTTAAAGGGATCCCTTATGCAAAAAAAGATTAAGAACCCTAGAAGGTGAATCCAAGTATAGTGGAGTCACAGGACTTGTGTTGTTAGGGTTTTTCACCAGGCAGATCCATACCCCTTTTCCTCAATTATAAAGTGAGGATACTGAGACTTCTACTACTTGCCTCAGGGGGTTATTGAAAGGTTAAGTGCTTTGTGAATTAATAAAAGAATATATAAATACAAATATACTTATACCACAGATTTTGGCAGTAATTAGGCCAATGTGACAAATGCGCATAGAGGTCAGACTTAGAAGCTTACAAAGCCTGCCTGCTCCTTGATTAGCCTTAGGTAGTTATGATCATTTAGTCACTTTATTGTGTAAAGTTTTGTGCGTATGTATGTATGTATATACATATATATGTGTGTGCTTACACACACACATCTTTCTCTTCTAAATTCTAGTCTTTGGTGTTTGGTTTCCCTAGTCAGACTGAAAGCTCTCTGGGGACAGGATAACACCACACCCTGCTTGTCCAGGCCTTGGTACTGAAAAGCTTGTTTGTTTGCTTTTTGTTTTTAGTAATATACTTCAAGAAGGATAAAGCTCTTAGGCTGTCCCTGGCTGTCAAGGAAAGCTAAGGAAATCTAAAACAGATACAGAGCCATCTTACTCGCTGCTCGGGGACAAAGGGCGAGGAGTCTATGACAACAAGGTTGAACCTAACTGACTCTTTTCCCAAGGGCCCAAGAAAAGAGATCACTCCAGAGACTAATTTAAATTGAGTGAGAGGGAGAGGCAGGGGGCCGAGTTGCACCTCAAAAAACAAGTAAAGCTGTAAGCTATCCCAGCTCTATTTCCCCTTCTCTTTCTGTCCCACCAATTCTGGGACCAGAGACAGAACACCCCTCAAGCTCAGAGACAGGCCCATTAAATGGCCTATCCCCAAGAGGGAAGCATCCCCAGAAGAAGGATAATTTCCTGCCGGTGCCACCCCAATTTGTGGTCTGTTGTTCTGTGGGGTCTGGTCTGGTCTAGAATCTCAAGTCCCAGGAAGCCTCTTTTTCACAATAAGACTATCTAGTGCTGGGCAACTAGGTGGCACGGTGGAAGTCAGGAAGATGCCTCTTCCCAAGCTCAAATCTGGTCGCAGACACTTCTAGCTGTGTGACCCTAGGCAAATCACTTAACCCTGTTGGCCTCAGTTTCCTCATCTATAAAATGAGCTAGAGAAGGAAAATGGCAAACCACTCCAGTATCTTTTCTGGGAAAATCCCAAATAGGGTCACAAAGAACTGGACTTGACAGAAACTTCTGAACAATATAGGTGATGTTAAATTTTGCATTTCAGGGTGAGTTAAATTTGGGATTCCTCACTGATGGTGTCTTTAATGTACTCTGCCTTCTTTTTCTAATACTCCTGGGCAATTTTCTGGTATGACTTTTCAAAAGTGTGGTTTTACTTAATTGCATTTCTCAGACTGTCTCACTTATTTGTCAAGAAACTCTGGTTTGGGAAGGACACTTCAATTGTTCTTTCAATTTTGCCGCTTTAAAAAAAAAATTCTTGTTCTGATGTTGCATTCTGCATTTTTGTGTTCTTTGCCACTCTTTTTCATTGTCCACTGCTTTATTAAGATTTTCTGTCATCTGCTCTAAACTATTAATTTGCTGGTCCTTTTTTTATCTACTCATAGTATTTGTTTTATATTTATTCTATGTATACTTGTTATATGTGTGTTGTTCCCCTTTATAGACCATAAACTCCTTGAGAACAAGGACCATTTCATTTTTTGTCTTTGTATGCCCATAAGCTAGTAAAATGTAGCCCACCGAAGACCATTAATAAATGCTTGTTGTCTTTAAAAATTACCCTTTGAGCTCTAATTTCTTCTTTAATTTACTTCTAACTTACTTTAGAGGTTATTTCCATCTTATTTCTGGTGTCAGGGTAGGGACTAGTTGTTATTGTTATACTCTTTGTTTTTATGCCCAGGAGCGTTCTCCTTTCTTTTATCCCACAGTACTTATTCAGTGTACTAGGGTCCCATTTTTGTCTACTTCTCTTTTTTTGGTTATTTAAAAAAAACCACTTTTGACATCTTCTGTTTTTATATCACCTTCATTTTCAATATATCCCTTCCTATCCCCAATCCAATGTAAGAAAAAAAAAATCAGTAAACATTATCAACAGACTGATGAAGTATGCACACTCCATACTCATAGTTCCCCAATCCTACAAAAATATGGATGGAGGTACATCTTCGGACCATTCTTCTTCAGTCATTAAATTGTTCTTTCACTTTATTTCAGAGTTCTTGCTGTTTTAAGGTGATGAGGGGAAGCTGAGCTTAGATATGACCACTCATTCAACTATACTGCCAGGTTAGACAGAAAGCCTGCGGTGGATAATCTACAAAGCAGTAAAATGGTAGCTGACAATACCAGGCTGTAAGAAGATCAAGCGAATGGCAAGTAATTGTTCTTTTAAAACTGGGAAGCTGTTTTTCCCTCTATTACAATATTACAATTTTAAAAAATGGAAGAATGGAAGTAGAAAAAGAGTTACTGGGCTACTCCATCTTCTGTCTCCTTATGTTTTAGGGTTTCTGGTTGAGAGCCCCAGAATGTGTGACAACAGTTCTCCCTGTTGATGATGAAGACACCAACCAGCCTAGGAAGCTGTGGCCCCAGCACCTAAGTACTGAGTTATGCCCATAGTTCAGCAGATGAGATACAGAAGGACCCCATTCAAGTGGGGCAGCCCCAGTTAGAGAAGGGTTAAAAAGAGGAAGAAGCATTCTCCTTCTCCCCCTACATCATCAAGTGAGAAGCATCTCATATCTCACTTAAAAAACTGAAGCCATTCACTGAGTGCTCCTTCTCAACTCCTTTCAGAGGCCTCCTGCCACCATCTCCTCTTTCACTCCTGTCTCCAAAGAAGAGTGGCTCTTGTTGTTAAGATATGTACAAGTGATGCACCTGCACAAGTGATCCCACTCCATCCCATCCTTTCCAGCAGATTGTCCTGTAGTCTCATTCATACCACTTGACCCAACAATTCCCACTAATCATCCTCTCTCTCTCTCTTCCCTTTTATTGCTGATCTCCTTAATAAACATCTACAATCAGTGCCTCTATTTCCTCCCTTCTCACTCTCATTTTTAAACTTTCAGTCTGGCTTTCAACCTCATCGTATAACCAAATTCCTCTCTCCAAAGTCACCAATGAGCTCTTAACTGACAAATATAATTATTTTTTTTTTCAAACCTCATCCTCCTTGACCTTTCTGCAGCCTTTAACACTGTCAGTCAGTCTCTTGATACTCTTCTCTCTAGATTTTTGGGAACACCACTCTCCTAGTTTTCTCCTCCTAAGCCTCCCTTACTGAATCATCCAGAACACTCCTGCTAACATTGGGGCTCTAGCCTGGTTCCTTTTCTCCACCTATACTCTTTCACTTGGTGATTTCATCAGCTCCCATGGATTCTATGAACTTTATGAAGGTGATGTTCAAAATTAGTTGCCCTACCCTAACCTCTCTTCTGACCTCCATTTTTGCACCTCTAACTGCCTATTGGACATCTCTAACTCATTATGTCCAAAATTGAATTCATTATCACTCCCCAAAGTCTCTTCTGTAACATCACTATTACTATCGAGAGTAACACCATCCTTCCAGTAACCCAGGCTTGAAACCTAGGTGTCATCCTCAAATTGTCTCTCACCCCCCCCCAAACAATCTGATGACAAGGCCTATTGTTTCTGCGTTAGTAACATCTCTCATATATTCCTCCTCTCCTCTGACACTCCTACCAATTTGGTGCAGGCCCTTATCACCTCATACCTAAACTATTGCAATAGCCTTCTGGTTACTGTCCAATTCTTTCTCTCCTCCAGTTTATCCTTGACTAGCTATCAAATTGATCTTTCTAAAGTGCAAGTTTGGCTATGT